TCTGTTGATAAGTAAAAGACAGTGGTGGGTGGAGATATGTATGGTATTATATCAATATTCTGTTGATAAGTAAAAGACAGTGGTGTGTGGAGATGTGTATGGTAGTGTATCAATATTCTGTTGATAAGTAAAAGACAGTGGTGTGTGTGGAGATATGTGTGGTAGTGTATCAATATTCTGTTGATAAGTAAAAGACGGTGTGTGGAGATGTGTGTAGTAGTGTATCAATCTTCTGTTGATAAGCAAAGGACAGCGGTGTGTGGAGATGTGTATGGTAGTATAACAATATTCTGTTGATAAGTAAAAGACAATGATATGTATGGTAGTGTATCAATATTCTGTTGATAAGTAAATGACAGCGGTGTGTGGAGATGTGTATGGTAGTGTATCAATATTCTGTTGATAAGTAAAAGACAGTGGTGTGTGGAGATGTGTGTGGTAGTGTATCAATCTTCTGTTGATAAGTAAAAGACAGTGGTGTGTGGAGATATATATGGTAGTATACCAATATTCTGTTGATAAGTAAGAGACAGTGTGTGGAGATGTGTGTGGTAGTGTATCAATCTTCTGTTGATAAGTAAAAGACAGTGGTGTGTGGAGATGTGTATGGTAGTGTATCAATATTCTGTTGATAAGTAAAAGACTGGTGTGTGGAGATGTGTGTGTGGTAGTGTATCAATATTCTGTTGATAAGTAAAAGACAGTGGTGTGTGGAGATGTGTATGGTAGTGTATCAATCTTCTGTTGATAAGTAAAGGACAGTGGTGTGTGGAGATATGTATGGTAGTGTATCAATCTTCTGTTGATAAGTAAAAGACAGTGGTGTGTGGAGATATGTGTGGTATGGTATCAATCTTCTGTTGATAAGTAAAAGACAATGATATGTATGGTATGGTATCAGTCTTCCTTTGAAAGACCTACATGAATTGTTCATTGCAGCATGGTGATATTTGACTTTGCCAAAGCAAAGTAAGTTTTTCAAAAAACATTTTACAAATTTTATCTTAATTTTTACACTTTGTATGTTTTTCAATTTTTTTGGTAACTTATTTTAAGAAAATGTTTTAGATGCGTATATATATCTATATATATAAACAAATACATCTACTGTTTATTTGTGTAAAATATTCGTTTTGGAAACGTGTTTATTTCGTACTGGTGTCAACTTTTTTACATTTTTTTTTACAGTGTTGTAAAATCTAAAGTTTGGACAAGAATTACTTCTATAAAGAGAAAATATGTGCTTATATCAGAGTGTTTATGTGCGTCAAAGCAGCTGTAAAATGAATTCATTTAAGTATTATGATGAAGGTTACGGTTTGTAGTTTTATTCCATGCACAATATAAAAGTAATATAAGGCTTAGCGTTATTATTACTAAATATATAAATAGTTGTTGGTAAAAATACTTTGTTGTGAGGACTACAAATTAATTAATTTTCTTTTATGATCTGTACTCTTTACATTAATGAGAAGTATAAAAACTAATGTGAATGTTGAAGGAAGTTTTTAATCTACTACTAACTTTACTGTAAACAAAAAGTCTTTTCTGACGTTATTCATCAAAGAATTTTCACATTTCTGGTTAATGTTGATATGTGTAATAAACAGTTCGTTTCAAACCTACCAGGACTTCTTATTTCGCGCACTCAGTTTTGTAGTTTAAGCTGACTTACCGCAAAAGTTATAATCTCTCAGGTTCTTCAGCAGGTTTTTTTTTAAACACCTTCCTCTCCGTGACTGGATGCGCATAAAAAAATATACACTTATTTTTACAGTTAACTCGTAGTGCTTTCAATTTGTAGGTTATTTATTACAGTATATCAGCTTTTTCAGAATAGGAAAAATGTTTCTGGTTTGAGAATAGTTACAAAAATTGAACAAGTACTAGGATGAATTAAAATACAGGAAAACTTGTAACACTAAAATTAGATTTGTTAACTGATAAAACAAGCAACATGTTTTTCAAACCATTTTTTTTTCAAGTTTCAAAAAACGCTACGTTTCGATTGGTTTACCTAGCATTGTTAGGTGGATACAATCGAATAATGGAACGAAACCGTTACTCGTTATAGTACCAAGCGTGATACTACGTCGCTGAGCAACAAAGTAAAAAAATTAAGAACGAATGGTAAATAGGGGAAAATTTAGAATAAATATAATTTTACATCTGAATACTGGTTAATGCTAGGTTTTTGTTTTTTAACTAAGATAACCTCTTTGAATCTTCTTCAATTTATATTATTTTCTCTATGATTTTAACTTTCGAAAAAGCAAAAGTTTATTTTGAGGCATGAGGAAAGGGTTTTTAAATGTTCTTTTAAACACTTGTCGACCGGCTTGAGAATGTTTCAAGGGTTACAAAAAATTGGTGAATTACTGGGATGGGCCATATATATATGTATGGTGATATTTGTTTTTAGTATACTAGCTACACCCATGTATTTTTTTATGTGTACCTAATAGGTAGTCAATGAGTTTGTAGTATTTGTAGCTTTAATTAGTCGCTTTTTTTTGTTGTCTATAAGCTAAGTGAGAGCAGTGAAGATTTGAGCCGACTACACTTTTACGTTCCGTCCGTTTAGAATGTGTTATACCGTTAGCAAGGACCAGGTGGTTAAGGCACTCGACTCGCAATCTGAGAGTCGCGTGTTCGAATCCCCGTCACACCAAACATGCTCGCCCTTTCAGCCGCGGGGAGCGTTATAATGTGATGGTCAATCCCGTTATTCGTTGATAAAAGAGTAGCCGAACAGTTGGCGTTAGGTGTTGATGACTAGCTGCCTTCCTTCTAGTCTTTCACT